GCCCGGGGTGGAAGGCCCGGGGGCCAGCCACACTGCGCAGGCTTCCCCCTACGCATCCAAGGGGGGCGGGGGGAATAGCAGCAGGTGGCCGCGGAGCTGGGGGGGGAGAAAAAGTGGCAGCTGTTCCCAGAGCAGCAGTCAGATGCCGTTTCAAAAATCCAGAATTTTCAAATTTCCGGCAGGTGCTAGGTCCCAAGGATGCAGGATTTATGAAGTTATACTGCACTATAATTTCAAACAGCAAGGATGAAAATGCAGAACCTAGTTATTCCACAGCTAAATTTTTTAGATCTGCCAGCAAGTTTTACTACAGTCAATCATGCTCTTTTTAACCCACCTGCAGACTTGGCTGGGGTAGACACTCTTTACCAGATCCATTCTTTCCTGTCCTGAAGGTAGTTTTGAGCAGTTACACTTCCTTAACAATGCCAAATGTGCTAGTGTGGGAGCCTTGCAGGTTTCTATTCTGACCCTGATTCTATTAAATCCATATTTGGGACTACTCTTACAATAGACAGATTATCTGGCTTGCAAAGCAGGCAATGACTAGACTACATGCAGAGTTCTGAACTTCTGCTGCTGGTGTGCTCTGGAAAGCAGCACCTTCTCTTAAATTGGGATCTGTTTTCCATTTTAAGTCTAATATTAGCTCTTTAAATCTGATAGCCCTATCAATAATAAGAAGGTGCCATTATACAGACACAAGGATTCCAGCAGAAGCACAAAAAGTCTCTAGTCAGATGTGATTTCTATGCTTATCCACATAAGTACATAGGTACATAAGATTCTCACACTTCCTGGAATGAAATTTGATAAATTTTAGGATCAAATACAATCTTTTACGTGTAACCAATTGAGAAACCTTTATCTTATGAAATACCCAACCTTGCCCCCAATGAGATATATTTTTGGTTGCAAATGAAATGCCATTTGATTTTTTGTAAAATCTGTGTAAAGTTTGACCTTGATACTGGATAAAATTTGGGGAAAATTTATCAAAAAGTCCATTTGCGACAGACTGGCAGAAGGCATGATGCTGAAGGATAGTCAACGTGGTTTCACTGCAGGCTGGTTGTCTGACCAAATTCATGACTAACCTCCTTTTATGATCAAGTAACAAACTGCTTGGATGTGGGAGATACAGCTGATGTCATACACTTGGATTTTAAAAAGACTTTCAATATGGTCTCCCATGACACTCTTATTAAAAAAACTGGGGGATTGTAAGCTGGCAGAGTCCACAGTCAGGTGGGTTGGGAACTGGCTAAGGAGTTGAACCCAGAGTGTTAGCGTATCATCTTGGTGGGAAGCAGCCAGGGGTGTCCTCCGCAGGGTTCAGTTCTTGGCTCTGTGCTGTTCAACATCTTTATCAACGACTTAGATGAGGAGGTGGAAAGCACGCTGGCCAAGTTTGCAGACAATACTAAGTTATGGGGAAAAGCAGTTACGCTAGGGGATAGGGTGAGGATCCAAATGGATCTGGACAAGCCAGAAAGGTGGGCAGAGTGGAACCTGATATAGTTTAATAAGGATAAATGCAGAGTGCTTCATCTGGGGAAAAGTAACCAGCGACATAAATATAGGTTAGGAGATATCCTGGCCAGCATGATGGCTGAAAGGGACCTTGGGTTATGGTTGATCACAGGATGAACATGAGCTGCCAATGTGATGCTGCAGTCAACAGAGCTAATAGCATACTGGGATGCATTAGTTGATGTGTCGTGAACAGGGCTAAGGAAGTGATACTTCATCTCTACTTGGCACTGGTGACATCCCAGCTGGAGTACTGTGTCCAGTTCTGGGCACCACACTTCAGAAAAGACGTGAAGAATCTTGAAAGGGTCCAGAGAAGAGCCACGAGAATAATTAAGAGCCTGGAGGATAAACCTTATGAGGAAAGAGTAAGGTATTTGGGACTGTTCAGCCTGGGGAAGACAAGACTGAGGGGGACTTGGTGGCTGTCTATAAGTATGTAAGGGGTCAATATCGGGAGCTGGGAGAAAAACTGCTCGTTAGGGCGCTCCAGGGAAGGACTAAGTGCAATGGCTATAAACTTTTATTGGATGGTTTCAGGTTGCATGCAAGGAAGAACTTTTTTAAGGGTGACCAGAATCTAGAATAGACTTCCCAAAGAAGTGATGCAGTCCCCAACCTTGGAAGTCTTCAAGAAGAGACTAGACAGCCATCTTGCTTGGATCATTTGATCTCAGCATTATTCCTGCTCAGAACAGGGGGGTTGGACTATGTTCTTTCAAGGTCCCTTCCAGTTCTTAATTTCCACTATTCTATGTTTCTAAGGTATTAGTTTGAAAATAAATTCATAAAAATGAATGGAAAAAAGATTCTGTATTTCACAGTAGGAATTTAAGGGGATGTTTTAGCCCAGTGGGGACCGACCTTTTCGGCAGTGTGCTGTAAATTAAGCCCCATGACCTCCCTGAGTACCACTTTGATTCTATTCCCTTACCTGATCTGCTGATCTGTTTTTCTGCTCCCTAATCTGCTGCATGCCCCACACACAGGCTGCCCAGACCATTTGTGGCATGCAGGCTGCAGGTTGGTTGCCACCCCTGTTTTAGCCAGTCTTTGCTGTTAGACAATGACATATACTTAACTTTTCTTTATGACTTAGAATCTAGGGAATACGGCATCCACAAAACTAGAGGCACTGGACAGAGATGCTGCTAAGCATAGGACAGCTGGGCTGTGAAGTGCTGTGAGATGTTGCTGGTGCCCACCCTAGTCATGCTACTGTACAAAACCTTCTACAAGGAGTATACATGGTTGAATTGGCCAGGACATATTCATACTATATTTAGTTTCTAACTTTCTGTTCACTGAATAGAGAACTTTACATTTCTGTCAGGCCACTATTGCACTTTTCTTTTTAGGAAAAACAAGAAAAAAATCCTGTGTAAATGCAATGTCTAAATTCTGGTTTTTAACTGTACAAAGGTCAGAAAATAGTGAAGTTAATGTGCCTGCAACAATACGAATTTTCCAACTTATACATCCGTTTGTTCAAGGAAATGATTTTTAAGACATAAGTAGCAGTAACTGAATACACTTTTAAAATATAAATACTCCTTAAATCTTGAAGTTTAGATAATAAAACTATAGGATGTAAAACACTACCACATTTACATTGCAGGGGTTTTTATGCTTTTAAAGCAGCAGGTTAATGTTGCATTAACAGCTTTTTTTAGCATTTAATTTCTAAGATTTAGTTTTGTTTCCCTTTAACAAAGGGGTAAAGAAAAGAAAGAAATCCAGAACTACCTGGCTTAATGGAGTGTAGAGTTGGTAAACTCAATGCAACATTTCTTTTGCTTGTGGAACTGCTAAGTCCCTTAAATCTATGCTGAGGTGGACTAAGCATGTGTGACTAGACAGTTCTTTTTCAGGCACACCTATAAAATTGTTTCTAGCTTGTGCATGCCATATGCAAATTGAGAATTGATAACTTTTTAGGGGGAAAAAACAATCATTTTAAAACCTAGCAAACTCATTATTGTCTATCTGAAATTTCAATTTTAAAACTTCAGCCGTTTTTCCTTTAACCCTGTTAAAGTGAAAGTACGTACATGACACATCCACGAAGAGTAGTAGCAGTACTATTCCAACCCCTATATATTGAAATATAGCTATGGGTTTTTCCTTGCTTAAACATCCAAAAGCGATTCACTTTTGAACAGATTCAATACATGGAAAATTTCAGCCCAAGACACAATGGTTACAAAACATTAAAATCTTGACCACCTTTGGAAACTAGAGAATTTCCCTTCCCTTCTATTTTCACCACTTAATATTAGTGGATCGCTACATTATTTTCGTACCCAAATGTTACATTCTGGGTAGAAACTAATGTCACAACACCAATATAATTAAGCAAAAACAACACCAACATTGCTTTGAGAAAGAGCAAAAATACAAATACTTACATCGATATCCAGCTCTTCAGATCTATATTTGTATAGTGTCCCCCTATACTCTTCTTGTGTCAACTATAAGGAAGAATAATATAGCCATAAAACAACTTCATTGGACTGAAGAAAACGAAAATGCTGTTCAGCTCAAATTTTAATACAATAGTATTAACTTTTACTAATACACTTTAACTTGAAAGCCAAACACGATGCATGACTGCACAGTTTTAGCCACTACACAACATTTAACTCTTAGTTACGTAAGGTACTTAATGGAATGTCGCATACAAATTTTCAGGAGTAAATTATATCAGATAACTAATCCAGGTAGTAAAGCTTTCTAATCAAAACAAACTGTGGACTTGTGTGAAGTTTTTTAAAATCATACTTCTTCAGAAAGATAAGCCCTGGATTCTGACAGTCACTGTAATCAGGCATGAGCTGTGTTGTCAAAATTATATCCTAATTAAAGCTCCATGTGCCATTATATATCAGTATGTACTTTTTCATAAGTGCAGTCTAAATACTGCCATGTATTCTGCTCTGATATTCCAGTGGGATCAGAGCAGTCTCAGGCTTGTACCAAAGCATCTAAGAACAGAATTTGATTTCTAGCACATATGGTAGGTATGTGTATCAAAAAAAACTGCTTCTGAATTATGGGTAGACTTCATCTCCCAACACATACTTTTTCCTGTGCTCTTCTAAACAGTGTTCACAGCACTTCAACAATGACTCTAAAGGGATACCCTCCTATTTCTTGTACTGAGGCAGGCAAACTTATGGTTTACAAAGGCTGCGACTGTAATTCTAGTCAGCAATGCAAGTGATCTTCAGGGCAGTCTGAGAAGAAATCGTCAGCATACTAACTTCTTGCCATTTTTATAATCTAGATTGACCACCAGCAAGAAATTCTTTAAAATGTTCAAAGGGGAAAATATAACACAATGCATTTATATATCCATTTTAGAATACTCATTTTCCACTACATTAGCTACTGTGTAACTATGCCACATCTTATCTACTATTTTAGTTAATACTAAAAAAATGTGTATTTTTCTAGTTCCAACATATTCTTTTTCTCCCGATACATATGTTATTTGATTTGTGGCATGTATAGGTCTTAATTGAGCAGGAAAGAGACTGTTAAAGCCTAATTTGACTTTGAAGGACATTTATGAATGCAAAGCTCAGGGGAGGGTTAAACCAAACAAGCATTTTGAACATACAATAAATCTTCAAAAGACTTAAGTGTTTCATTTCAAGACATACCTCATGCAAATGCATCTGGTGACAATTTAAAAGTACGGATAGTGCATTAAGACCACGCAATAAGTTTCTTTGAAATGAACATTTAATGAAAATGAGCACCAGAATACAAAAGCCACAGCATCTCAAGAATTATTTTATTTTTTAAAATATAGTTAACCCTTAACACACTTCAGAAACCATAATTTTAAAAAAATCCCCCCTAATTATAGATTCCATCTTTCTGACAGAATAAAACTGAAGAATGGAAATATTTTAAAAGGACAGTGCTCATAAACATGGTCAATAGAAATCTGGCCAAATCCTCTCAAATTACAGATTAAAATCTTACCTGCAGATTATTTCCATGAAATGCAACAGGGATGTTTGTCTATCTTTAAAACCCCAAATTTATATTTCCCAAACACTTAGGAATTATACATAATGTAATCATTTTTTAAGGCTTAAAAGTTCACTATTTGTATTGGCAGCAGCTCAATCTTATAGTTTGGCCTAAAATAGGTTTATGGGGCAACTTCCTACTTCCAAAATACTACTACACAGTAAGTTTTTGGAAAAATCAAACTGTGTTTTTAAGGAGATATACTGTGTACTTCAAAATTGTTAATATGTCTTATTCAAACTCTTCTAAATTTTAAAAAGGACACTGAAAGTGTTCTACTCTTTTATGGTCTTTTATTAGTGTTACACTACATAATGTGTTATTGCAACAGGCAGCCAACCACTTTACCTCCACACAAGAAAATATTGCAACATTTACATTTACTTCATATTTAAAGAATCTAGAATTAAACTAAGCCTTTTATTCATCACTGACAATGCAGCACTTATTCAAGGGTTCAACAAATCTGCAAGTCAGTTTTGGACAACACTGGAAAATAGTCTCTTAAGAGCTATATTGGGTTAGACCAAAGTTGGCATTACTCCACTATCACATCTCCAACCGTGACAATGGTTGATGCTTTAGAGGGAGAGCATGTGCATGGGGTATACCTAATGATCCATCCTGGCATATCCTCTCCGACATCCAACATCACTGGTATAGGCATGCCAAAGGATACATCCCTAGTGTTCTGTTTAGCAGCTATTAATGGATTTATCCATTAATTCATCTCATCCCTTTTTTAACCTGGCTATACCATCTGCCTCTACAACCTCCTGTGGCAACAAGTTCTATAAATTAACTACGCACTATGTAAAAAAAAGTATGGTCTCTTCTTTGTTTTAAACCTGTCTCCTGATAATTTCAGTTTGTGTATCTTAGTTCTAGTATTCTGGGATGTGGTGAATAACAATTCTCTATTCACTCTGTCCACACCCATCATACCGCTTCACAACTTTCTTCCTAAAGGGAAGAGTCCTAGTCTTTTTAGAGTATAGGCAGACATTCATTTGTAGTGCTACAAAGTGTCTCTGCACTTCAAAGCACTGCAAAAATGTAGTGTTTTGGGAGCACAGAGGTGTTCAAGCCCTGTTGCTGGAGAGTGACAAAGTTACCTTTCAGGCCAGCTCTCCAGCCCATAGCAAAAGAGGATGGGTACTATTTTGTCTGCAAGCACTCCATTTGAAGGGCTGTATGTTTATTTTTGGTAGTGCCACAAATGCGTATTTAGCACTAAAAATGTAATGCCCGTCCATAATCTTAGACTTTTTCTGGTATGACAGCTGCTCTGTACTCCTGATCATCTTGATGGCCCTTCTGTTTCTCTTTTAATTCTACTACATCCTTGTTGAGATATGCAGACGAGAACTGCAAACAGTATTTAAACTGTGGGTGCACCATGGACTTACAGAATGGCACGAGTACACTTCCCATTTTGTTTTCATCATCATCTTAATGATGGACGCCCTTCTTAATGGTGCCCAACTGGCTTTTTCGGTCACCACTGCACACTTAGCTGATATTTTTGGAATGACGCAAAATGAGTTGTAACACCTAGTTCACAGCCCAGCATTATGTAATATTGTTGAGGGTGTTTACCCACCTCACTCCCATGTACCTTACCTTTCACTTGTCAATGGTGAACTTCATCTGGCACTTTTTTGTCCACTTATTTAGCTTTGTGAGACCTTTCTGCAGCTCCTCACCATCACTGTGAGATTCAAACTGAGATTTCTTTGTGCACTCCCTTTTCCAGGTCATTGATAAAAATGTTAAACAAAACTGGGACCAGCCCAAAGTCTGACTTTCATGCCACTGACCTTCCTCCATCCTAAAAAGTGACCATTTAGGTCCACCCTTTCCTTCCATTCTTTGAACTACCTCTCAACCCATGAAAGAACCTCTCCCCCAATCCTGTGGCAAGGTATATTTTTTAAGAAACTTTGGAGAGAGGTCTGGTCAAAAGCCTTTGGAAAATCCAAATAAATTGTGTCAACTAGATCCCCTTTGTCCACATGCTTGTTAACATACTAAAAAAACTCCAGCAGATAGGTGAGGAAGGATTTTCCCTTAAAAAAAAAAAAAAAGACGACGACATGCTGACTCTTCTCCAGTGCCTATCATAGTTGTCCATTTCATTGATGATTTTATTCTTAATTATACATTTCAGCAACTTACCAGGGATAGAAATAACACTCACTGATCTGTAGGACCACCTCTGGAATCCTTTTTTGAGATGAGTCTTAGGATGGCAACCTACCAGTCCTCCTGCACAGAGGTCATTTGTAAAGAAAGGTTGCCTGCAATTGCCAATAGTGCTACAATATCCCATTTCAATTCTTTCAGGGCTTGCAGTTAAAAACTATTTGGTCCTGGTAATTTATTAGTGTTAACTTTATCGATTTTGACGCAGTATGGAGATTTCTCCAACATACCCTTCAGTAAAAACTAATGCAAAAAGTTTATTTAGCTTCTCTGCTTTGGCCTTATCATCTCTGAGTGCACCTGTTATACTTAGGAACTGATCAGGGACGTGAACGGTTAACCAACTGTTTAACCGATCAGCTCAGTGATAATCAGTTCTAGCTTACTGGTTATGGTTTAGCCTGGGACATAGCACAGTTTAGGAAGGGAGGGGGGGAAGGGAAGCCCTGTGGTGCTGCAGCAGGAACCAGAAGGTGGCAGGGCGGGCAGGAGGAAGGGCAAGAGAGAGGAACAAGAGGGGAGGGGGAAGAAAGAGAGAGGAACAAGAGGGGAGGGGTAACTAATACCTAATAGCTACACTCTACAGATGGAAGAAGGGTGGGAGGGACGGAGAAAGGGGTAGAGAGAAGGGAGAACGGAGGAAGAGGGGTTGCCTGCTCCCTCCCTTGCAGCAGACCAGCAGCTGCAGTGGGCAAATAAAGCCCACCGCTGGCTGCTGCCCTCCTCTCCCCTCCCTCCTTTGCTGCTACAGCTGGTCCCAGGAAGCTGTGCGCTGGGGCTGCCTGAGCTGTGGCAGGCAGCACAGCCCAGGAAGGCCTGGATGGCAGCAGCCAGCAAGGGGGTGCAGCCATTGGCATGAGCCTTCCTGGGGCTAGCTGCAGCAGCACAGAAGGGAGGGGGGAGTGGAGAGGCAGGTAGTACAGCCCTGCCAGGCAGGCAGCCCCCTCCTCCCCTGCTGCAGCTGGTACTGGGAAACCGTGCATCAGTGGCTGAAGTCCCTTGTCAGTTGCTGCCCCCTGGGACTTCCTGGGCTGTGTTGCCTGCCAGGTGGGGCTGCTTTGACCCCTTCTCCCTGCACTGCTTGGGGCTGGTGAGTGCAGCCCCTCTTCCATGGCAGGGAGGAGCAGGGCAGGCACCGGGGCTTAACACCCCCTCCTCCCCCCTGGGGCTCAGCACAACACGTCCCGGCCTTCCCGACTTTACAGAGCCATGAGCTGGAGCC